AAAAAAAAAAATTACTTTCTTTTGCTAAATATTTTATACTGTAAAAAGTTGGTCAGCTGATAGCTGATAAACTGTTAACAACCAAATGAATACTTACATCTATCAGCGACTTATAATATTGTCTCATTTCCTCTCGCATAAAGTTTCTGTAATTTTTAACTTCCTGAAAATTTGCCTTTTGTGTTCTTCTAATCTTTTTTTTTTTTTTTTTACTTACTGCTTATTTTATATATATATATATAAAAACCAATATTTTGGTGTCAAAAAGCGAACATTTCTGAACGACTATATTTCATAATGAAGATAAAATTTAAATTCCAAATGTTATGAAAAAAAATTTGACCGCATAACAACTATTCAAATTTTATAGCAGGTAAAAAAGTTTTCTCAATAAAATATTCAAAATTGTTTTGAATATATCACCTAAATATTGTGCCTCTTAGCGTATAGTTTTGATTTTTTTTTTAATCAAAATTTTCCTCTTAATTCTTTGTTTTACCTTTATACGAATATCATTTTTTGACAATTTTTGTTTCAACGAAGTTATATAATCTTGACTTTTAGCTTCCAAATGTTCCAATAACTTTTTTGGAATGTTTAACGGCTGTTTTTGTTGATGTTCTAAAAATTTTCATATGACTACATAGATATATCTATACATACGCAAATAGTTTTTCTGCTGTATACTAATTAACAAACAAAAAACCTAAACTTTAAATTATTTTTTGACAATAAATCAGCAAAAAAAATGTTCTTGTAAGTTTATAATAGTCAACCAAACAGTTTGATACCTTCACCTAAATGTATTTTAATTGTTCTGGTGTACTTTATTTATTTATTTCTTTTTTTTTTTGTAGTTTTTTGGCTACCAAATTTTGAAGAACTGTCTATTATCGTCAACTGTCAGTAACAGTAGATAGATGAAGAAAAAAAAAAAACTTTTTAATTACATACCATCCGCAAAAGACAGAACGAAAATAAAAAAAAACAAGGATAAGCTTCTATACATTACAACCGCATTCCTAACTGAGCAGAAAACCCATTTTACATTCCACCAAAAATTTTGAAGTGATTACATCAGTTGGTGATGATAAGAGAAATTGACAACGAATTGCCGTAGCAAAAATGCTTAGTAAATGTAGATTTGAAAACTTCTTTTAATGTATAAGAAATACTTAGTTGAATAGTTCTAAAAGCTTAACCAAATGGTCATTAAAATAATAACCTTTAGAATATGACAGAACGAATAGACCAACGTCAGCTTGCAGTTACTTACGATCAGTCTTTTTTGCTGCTTGATACAGTGCTTTCAAAACGCATGAAACAAGCACTAAAACGACAGCACTTTTTTGTCAGACATATCAAAACGATAGTATCTGAAACTTTGGTTTTCTTAGCTTAGTAGTTTTGCTGTATAAACAATAGTTTTGTTTATCAAAACAGCTTAACCGTATGTATCAGAAGAAATAATATGATTAAAACAATGGAATACTTGCTTTAAACTTTTTCAAATTGCAGATTTATCACTAAATCATCTTTAGTCATCAAATCTTAGCTAAATTAAACAACTCTTTTTACGTTCTTATTTTTCTTCTTTTTTTTTTTTTTTTGAAAGAATATCAGATACTTAAAATTGATAAAATATTTTTTGCAGTACCTCACCTTCTACTCTCTCCCGCCTTCTTTTAAAAAAAAGACCAGTTTTCTTGAGACTTGCCACAAAAAATAACAAATATGCTGACAGATTAAGAGCATAACTATTTTAAGCAAAAACAGCTTGATCATGCAATTTTTTCGCAAAAAAATTACTTC